AAAATATGACATAATAAATTATTTTATTTTATTTTGAATATATGCATATATATGTGTGTGTTTTTGGTGTGTGTCTGTGTGTGTGTTTAAGCATGCTATAGCAAATATAGATATTGATTTGCCTACCTTTTTAGAATACTTTATTCCATACAGCTTTTTCAGAAAGAAAAAAAAGAAAAATAATGAATAAAAATCATGAAAAAGAAGATTGTTAATATAGAAGCCTGTTATCTTAATTTTTTTTACAAGATCAGTTTTATACTATTTAATTTGTCTCTTCACAAAAATAGTATTATAATAATTGTACTATATTGTAAACAGTACTTTTTTGCGTTAAATATATATTAAATGATTGATTAATTATGAAGTAGACAAACAAACTAGGCAATTCTACAAGAGATTGATCTATTTTTAATGAACTGATTGTGTTCAATGTTCTGTTAGGGAGGATCGTAGGTGTTCATACATTTTTGGTTATGAAAATAGATTGAAGTTGCAAATTTAATACATTTGCTATATCCACTTTCTTTATGGTAATATCTAATTCAGTGATCATTGCATTAATAGGGCTTAATGATGAACGTTAAAAACTAATATATTTGAAAAACATTTTTAGATTGCATTTATCATTTGCTAAATGTTCTTCAAAGATTTTAATTGCTGAAAGATTTTTTTTTTATTATTTTATTACAAACCTTTTTTAATTATTATTCTGATTCACTCCCAACAAGGCTGCAAACAACCACTATTAAATTTGGAGTTAATAGAAAAAAAGAATAGAGTTATAGAGCAAGGAAACGTTTGACAGAAGACTTGAAAGTTTGAAGGTTGTATGAGCCAGGAAAAAAAGAAGATGGGATAGAGTTCCGAAGAGTTAAAGTGCGGGGAAACAAACTAGACAAATAAAAGTTTTAAGAGCATGCAGGGATAGGTACAGTAAACAAACAAAACTTTGCTGAATGACGTGTCAAACAAGAATGAATTTTAGTAAAAGGAACTAGAAATGAAAGCTCCTTTGAGCAACGTCCATGATAGTATTTGTAGAAAAGAGAAAGGAATTCAACTTTAAAATAATATGAAAGAGGCTCAACCTTAGCAGATAGAGCGGGTCCAACTATGTTTACAATACGTTTTTGGATCTTGTTTAGAAAGAGCATCATTAGTAAAACCAGCCTAAATATGACAACAGTATTTTATACAGGGACAAATAGGAAATTTGTAAAGGTAGAAAATGGAATCAGGAGTGAGAAAATGGCAAGCATGACAAAAAGAAGCAACCTTAGCGGATGCTAATTTAGTATTCGATTGTATATAAGTTTCCCATAAAAGGTCAGCATTTAACAATAATCCAAGAAGACGTAAAGAAGAGGACTCGGTGAGAGGGTTGCAATTCATTAATATAAAAATGTCGACAGTATTTCAATAGTTGTTTGAAGTAATTAATAAAGTTTTGTTGGAGTTAAAATTTACAAACCACTGCAAGTCCTAATCGGGTACAGAAGTGAGATTAGATTCAAGATTGGCTGCCTGTTCTCAGCGTTCAAAAAGAAAAGACTTTTTGCCAAGATAGGAGTATAAAGTTGTGTTATCAGCATAAAGAGCTACTTTACATGTAAATTTGTCAGGAAGATCACTAATCTAGATAAGAAACAACCCATGGATAGAACCTTGAGGCACCCATGATAGAACCCTGGTTTAACCCGGGCGCATTGATAGAACCCTCTAGGTTCTATCAATGCGCCCGGGTATCCCAGATATAACTGAAAATGAAGAAGCGTGTTGGCCTTCGAAGATGACTTATAGAGAAAACCAGCATACCAAACTTTGCGGAAAGCTTTAAATATATCAAGAGCAATTGCTCTAGCTTTTCTACCTGCATCTAATGCACGATAAAATATTTCAGTTACAGCAGTAAGCATGTCAGCAGTAGAGCATGAGGATCGAAAACCTTATTAATTGTCTGACAGTATTGATTGTCTGACAGTCTGTCTTATAAAGATAGAAAAAGGAACTTTCTACTTTGTATTTTTATTTTTGTACAATAGTTATTTTTTGTTTTACTTAACTTACTAATTTTAATTGTGATTTAAGGTTTATGGTTTTTTTTTATGTGTTTTAATATAGGATGATATATATCTGTTCTTTTTTTTGTAAGAATCATTGATACTTAAATTTTTAAACATAACAATCCAATCATAACTATAAAAAGCTTCATATAGTGTTGCTTAGTTACCTATTTTATAACATAATTTTAAGAATATAAATAGAGTTGAGGAATTTGATTTTTCAATGATGAGATTCCATTGGAGTAGTAACTGACCTTCTGTTGTACAAAAGTTACAAAAGTTAATATATATATATATATATATATATATATATATATATATATATATATATATATATATATATATATATATATATATATATATATATATATATATATATATATATATATATATATATATATATATATATAAACTTGTATTTCACCTGATGATTGTAACAGCATGAAACCTAAAGTTATGAAAATCACGTAGTTTTATTTTCTTCTCTCTCTATGTATATAAGCAATATAAACCCAAGGACTTGGTGCAAGTTTATTTTTCCATCATAAATAATATATTTTGGCTCAAATTTGATCAAAAAGTAGATATTTTTACTCTCACTCAAGACCTCCAAATCTATTAAATAATACTTTGCCTTCTTTTATATACTGCTAACTACATACTTCGATAAAATATAATTATGAGGGCCAGTTCAAAAAGACCCTTTGTTGCGTTTTTTGTAATCTTTAAAATTACAGTAAGTTCAGCGCTCAAGTTTTTGAAAGTAATTAAATTCAATAATAGAGTACTAAAAATTGTTGATTTTTCATTTTGTAAAACACTCGTTAATAATAAACAACTTTAAATCATCGTTTCTATATAATCCCAAAAAAAAGAAAAACGTTGTTTATTAAACTAATTTTTTAAGTTTGTCATACTGATTAAAATTTTGGTTTGCTATATGGTTTGGTAATTAAGTGCGATCTTCTTTAGAGATTACGGCAAACTTAAGTTTCAAGAATAAAAACTTCAAAGTCCAAAAAAAATATGTAAACAGTTTAAGTATGAAATAAAATAGTTCAAAATATTTTATTTTTATCTTTTGCATACTGATTTACAAAAAAAACATTCATAACGTCTATGTACAAAAATGTTTCTGATACGTTCTGGATACAAGCTAAATATGATAAATATATTGCGATGTGATATAATGCAATAAATATATTTAAACAAAAACGGGTTAGATTATACGTATAATTGTACCAAGTTTTGTTTTAAGTATAATACATTAAATATCAATATCAAATAGAAACAGCCTTATGTTAAAGCGATTTTCACTCTGGTTATTACTATACAAGACTGGGTAAATTCAGTGATACATCATGATTGTTAATGTTTACTACAAAAGGGACTGGACCAAGTATGGATCTTTGTAGAACGCCTCATGTTAAGTTTATTATTATAAGAGTTAATTACTAAGTATTTATTGATTGCCCAATACATTATATAATGATTAGACTTTATTCTACTTTGTGTGTGTGTGTGAGTGTGTGTTTTTGTGTGTGTGTGTGTGTATATGTGTGTGTGTGTGTGTGTGTGTGTGTGTGTGTGTGTGTGTGTGTGTGTGTGTGTGTGTGTGTGTGTGTGTGTGTGTGAAAATTACAATAATATCTATGTTAAATTTACAATTTTTCAAAAATGATGAGGGTGTAAACTTGGTATATTTATAACTCCTGAACACCAAAATATGTTAATAAACTCAAGTTTATGAGAAAAATTTAGAAGTTCTATTGTTCTTACAAATGAACTAGGATCGGTTAATGCTTCTGTTTTCTAACATAATTTGTTTTTTCAAATGTTTATCTGTGTGTTTATATATCTCAATATAATCTTACATTAAGTTTATATTTAATTAACAGGTGTTCTTGATAGTTATTCAGAAAGTCTCCACGCGCGGTTATTGAAAGATAATTTTTTTTTTTCTCTTTACATATATATATATATTTTAAACTAAAACGTAGCGTCAAGATAAAATATAAAGTATCTAGCTTAATAAAAATCAATTTACAAAAAAGAAAAAAATAGCAAAAACATACTCAGTATATCTTTAAAATTATATATATATATATATATATATATATATATATATATATATATATATATATATATATATATATATATATATATATATATATATATATATATATATATATATATATATATATATATATATATATATATATATATATATATATATATATATATATATATATATATATATATATATATATATATATATATACATATTATTTAAACCAAATATGTTACAACCAAAGTTTCCTTCTAAGTTTGAAAGACGTCATAAAGATCATAAGTCATAAATATTTACCCAGTAAACGTAAATTTCTCAATTTAAACAGTATGCTAATAAAGTGCACGATAAGTGCTTATACCAGAAGAACTCCATTTTCAAGGTAATAAAATTAAGGTATTTTGTTTTATTTTAAAGACAGCTAAGTGAATACCTATGGGCGGATGAGTTAGAGAAAACCTTGGATAGAGTTATTATAATTTTATAATCTTCAAAATTTTAAATTATCACCCATTAAAGTTCAATAAAAGGTTTTTTTAACTTAAAATACCATAAAATACAACTGTAGCACAACAAAAACCCTCACAAATACAATACGGATACAACCCTCACAATTATAATACGGATACAAACTTCACAAATTACAATACGGATATTTTCAGAACATTTAATTTTTATTTATGACATTTTTTTGAATTAAAGAGTCAAAAATTTTAGTTTTAATTTTTCAATTTATTCTATCAAAAAATAAATGATTTACAAATTATATAAATTATAAATTTAAAATTTTATTCCGAAAAAATACATACAATTTTTTCGTAAGATTTTTTAATCGTATGAGTTTTACAAATCTTTGTTGGTTTGAGTGGCTTGGGTTGTTTGATTCATTAATTAGGTGGTTTCGGTGGTTTGATTGTTTTGATAAAGTGGTTTTGTAAGCTTAAGTGGTGTAAATGGTTTGGTGTTTTATAGTGTGAGTGATATTGTTTTTTGTTTCAATACTGTTTTTTTTTTTACTTTCAAATACACTTCAGCAGAATTTAGTTGATTTGATCATTTACTGAAGATTTTTGACAAGCTATTAATACCCAACAACATCTTTTCATAAATCGAATTACACATATGTCAAGCAGTTGTTTTCGAAAGGATTTAATAGCGTAACAATTAATGAGAACATTTGAAATCGTGGAGAGCTTTGCAAACAGCGCACTGGTTGTTGCCAAATTGGTTGGTATAGCAAATTTCATCAATGTCAAAACGCTGAAAAGTGCGTAAAATGACCAAAAGAAAAAAAATGTTACCGTTGATAATAAACAAACCCTTAAATATTCTTTTTCTAAAAAACCAGTCTCTCTACTTTGACAAATTTTCCGTCCTTTTCGGCGATAAATTGTTTTTTTGCTAAAATACAACATTAACACAATGACTATTCCAGGTAAAATGTTGCAACAGATGAAAATAGATAAAATATAAGAAAAAGAGTTTAACTTTGTCAGCCTCCAATCTAAAGAACAACGTTGCTTATCAAGATCTAGTTCATATTTTGACCAACCGATTATAGGAAGTATTGCCCAAAAAAACCCGTTTGCATAACATACTAATATCAATGTAGCTCTGCACCAAAACATTTTATTATATCGTAAAAATTGTAACGGATATTTTATGGCAACAGTTCTGATAAAAGAAAGTATTGTCAAATGAGTTATATTGGTAATAGCAAAACCAAGAACTGCAAAACCACTTACAATGCATAGAGGAGTTCTTTCCAATAAAAATTCATTGGCCATCATTAATTGAGGTGTTAATCCAATTGTCGTTTCTAATAAATTTGTAATAGAAATGCTGACAATAAATAAATGTGTTATCTCTTTTTTTTTCACTTTGAACAAAATAATATAACAGGCAGTCATGTTTAATATAATCGACGTAAAAAGCACTGTGGAAATAACACTCTGAATTACTTTGATTGAACTCATCTTTTTTGCTACCTAAAAACTAAAATAATAAAAGTTTACAGTTGAAATTTAGATTTAAAAGTTCCATTAAATAACATTTTACATAACCTTTTTACATCAAGTTTGAAAACCATGCCCTAGACTGTTTTGAAAAGATTTTGAAGGAGACAAATAATTATAAACTAGCCATTTTGAACCGACTACGAGGGTTTTTACCTTTTTTAAACAGAATTAAAAAAAAAAAGTATCCATAAACATTTACAATACATTTATTTTACCTTATTTATAAGGTAAAATAAATACGATGTAAATGCTAATGAATATATATATATATATATATATATATATATATATATATATATATATATATATATATATATATATATATATATATATATATATATATATATATATATATATATATATATATATATATATATATATATATGTATATATATATATATATATATATATATATATATATATATATATATATATATATATATATATATACATTTTTTAAATTCTGTTTCTTAACAAAACTGAAAAAGCTAGTTTGCACAATTGTATAATCATTAGCAAGTTAGCTCTCATAGCTGCAGAAAATGCAGCCAACTTTATGATTTTGTTAATAGCCTAAAAGTATAATACAATATATACTATAAATGAACATATACAAACAAGGTGTTTCCAGAAATTATAAACAGCCTAAACCTAAACCCTTTTAATCATTTTAAAATAATTATAAACATGAACTTAAAAAAAATCTTTGATTATAAAATCCGTGAAATTTTTTTTTTTAGTTATGGTTTAAATAGATTCTTTCAAGTTCTTATCTAAAATTACATCTTATTTCATATTATATTAAACGGAAATGAAAAAGGTGCGGCTACCTTTACTGATATCAATGAGAAGCCTATGAAATGAAACAAATCAAAACTACTTAATCGCCAGTTTTAAAGTTTAACAACGTCATTAGCATTATACTTTAAAATTTAGCATCATACTTCTTATTTTTCTTCGTTGTAATTCTACAATGTTATTCAAAATTATAAATTTAAAAGTCTGTTTGAGGCTTTCGTCGTAAATGAACTTTTAAAAAAATAATTTTTCAGAGATAAAATTATATGATTATTTAAGTGGCAATAATTTTGTTTAAAATTTCAAATATATTTTATTTCTCACACACGCAAACACACACACAGGCCGGCGCAAATAAATCTTGATGTTTCAGATATGAAATTTTCAGGGAATGTAGACACTCCAAGTTTAAACTTTTTATGCCTATGTCATATGAAAATGTTATGTAAAAAAATTGCAGTGATTTAAGTCTGGAAATAAAAATACCAGAAAATGTTTTTTTAATTAAATACAAATTCATCAAAAAGTTTTACATACATACATACATACATACATACATACATACATACATACATACATACATACATACATACATACATACATACATACATACATACATACATACATACATACATACATACATACATACATACATACATACAATATGTTTTTATAGTATGGAGGTAAAAAAAGAAGAAAAATTAATTGTTTTGCATGATGGGATTTTAAGAATGAGTAGTTTGAAATATATATGTATCTATAAACAGCATAAATACATTGGGCAAATGTATGTAAAACCATTCCAAATGTCGGCTATTTTTTATGATGCGATTCCAACGATTCAGCATCACGTGTTTAGCAATCATATCAATCAAAAGAATTAATACCGACGCAACTATAGTTGCATTAGTATTGATCTGTTTTTATAAAAACAGCTTGCGCAGTTACGGTAATTTAATGTATGTAAAAACATCGCAAAAATTTATTATTTTTACAATCTAAGATCAACTTTGATTCAACGTATATAATCTAACACTGATTCAATGTATATGGATTAACGTTGATACAAGGTATAAAACACAACGTCGCGAGTGAATATATATATGTATATATATATATATATATATATATATATATATATATATATATATATATATATATATATATATATATATATATATATATATATATTTATATATCTTAAGTAAAATCTTTCGTGAATATATAAATATCAAATCACATGAAAATCAAACACCATGTAGGTCAATAAAATTGATAAATCGAGGGTATTTATTATTTGTAACTTGTAACCTTCACCATTTCACATCTATATATGTCTACTTACACGCATAGGTTTGCTAGTTTTATTTAAACATTCACATAATATCCAAAAATAATGTGAATAGTGTAATGACCTTGAGTGTCTCTATCCAAATTCATTTCAAAAGTTTATTATTGGGGTTTTGGGTAGATTTTTTCTGGAGATTTGAGTGGATTTTTGCGTGAGTTTTGTGGGAGGAAACTGAATACATTTTCAATATTATTTATTTGCTTAACTGAAGTTTAGTGTTCTTTAAATGAATTTATAAATTTTAAATTTTAAATGAGATAATTATAGTTTCTAGATCCCTGATTTTGAAGTTATTTTATTAGAATAACATAATAAAAAACGTAGTGGAGGAATTTTGATTTACGTAAAAAAGAACTTTGCGCATTTTGTTTGAAATGGTTTGTGCGCTTCTGATGGTGATAAAAAAATTGTTAGTATTCAAACATCAAACAACAGAAATAAAAATACTCTTTTAAGCTGCTGCTGTTATAAACCACCTTACGGTATGTGTGAAAACTTTAGCTCGTACTTACGTCAACACATAACCAACAAATAAATAAATAAAAAAATTACTTAAAAGGGGATTTCAATACGGTTTGTATAGCATTTAATAATGAAAATAAATTAAGGTGTTTTTATGATGAATTTTTTACAGTAGGAGGATTACCTCTAATCAACCAAATATAGTAACTTATATAGTAACTAGTACAATAGTATGTTACAGTAGTAGCTGTACAAATATAGTAACAGATATGCCAGTTGTAATAATATTGACAATATTATTACAACTGACATCAGACCTTGAACATTACAACTATTCATTACACTGTTATTCATTTCACTATACATTACAACAATAAACCTCCAAAAAGATATTATACACTAGTGGCCATAGGAATGGACACCCCTGTAATTTTTACCATTTTTCTTAGAAAAGTTGACATATCATGCATTTAGTAAATTTAATTATTTATTTTTATATTTAAACCACGTCATCTATTATTTGGCATATAGGAAATTGCAAATGTTAATTGTTTATATCAATTTTAAACATAATTATGGATTATTGTTGTTAATTGGTGTCAAAAATGAGTCATTGCTCTGCTAATGGGTTTCTCTAGTAAAAGGTGAATGTCTCATTATTTTTGTGCTTTTGTGAAAATTAGTCTATTTATTGTGATGACTAATAGTTAATTACGTTATTAATTAACATTTTTATCCATAAATCTTTTAAGCATCGATTGATGATTTGTTTGAGGGCAAAGCAGAAACCTGAGTGTTCCAGCAGGACAGCGCTACATGCCACACCGCAAAAAATGTCAAAAATTGGTTTAAAGCCAAAAGATGAACGTTTTGAAGTGGCCTGGAAACAGTCCGGACCTGAATCCGATAGAAAACCTGTGGTTTCGACTGAAAAAATTGTTAGGAAAGAAAAACCTGGGAACAAGCGACAATTAATAGAGGCCATAATCAAGTCCTGGTTTCACGTGATCAGCACTGAAGATTTGGGCAATTTACTGGACTCATTGCCTCGTAGGATTGCTGCAGTAATAAAAATAATGGATATCCAACAAAATATTAAGTTTTTTTGTTTATAAGCCATTTTTTTAATAACAAACTTTGTAAGCTGTAAAACGTAAATTTACCATAATTTGCCACTTTGTCATTAAATTGTTATATTTTTATATTTAAACTGTGATTTTTAATTAAAATTTTAGTTTTTTTAAATCTAAACACATCAAAAAATAATAATCATTATAGAAGACCGCATAAATATGGTATAAATATTTTCTTTTAAAAAACACACCAAAGTGAAGTTTTCATATATTTTGAATAGGTGTCCATTCCTAGGGCCACTAGTGTACAATCCGATATATAGACCATTTCCCTATATTTTAAACCCTGAGCACAATCTAAATAAATGACATAAATATAAATAAAATATTTAGAAAACGCATGTTTAACTAAAAAAGTTTAGAATCATTTAAACAACAACTGTTAAACAACAAATTTTATAAATCATTTTACTCTATGATGCAAACTTTCCAGTTTACGAAAAAAAAATTAGTTATAAAGGATTAAAAAGTGCTTGGTTTACCAAAGACAAAAATAATCCTCAGAAATAAAGCAGAAATTGTCTAGTTACTTTTAGCATTGTTTTAATGATTATTTATACGATCGTTTTTATCATTAGTTATAATTTATATTTTAGTTATGTTATTATAGCTATTATTTGTAATGTTTTTTTAATTCATGTTATTACTACTCTTTTGATTATTGTTATTGCTATTATTAATTATTAATTTATTAGTGTTTTATTTTATTTTATTATTATTTTTTTCTTTACTATGTTTTTATGTTAGTTTTCTTCGTTTATTTATTTATTTTTTATTTTATTTTTCTATGTTTTAATTAATATTTTTTTTATGTCACTCCGTTGACTAGTTTTTAACTATACGAATAACGCCTAACCATATTTATGTTAGTTTATAATTTATTGTTGTACATTTCCATATTTTATTGTGAAATTCAAAATCCTAATGAGCAAACTAATACAACAACCAGTAAGATCGAATCCAGTTGTGCTCCAATTGCAAGCAAAAACATAAAAAAAAACAAAAAAAAAACTGTTGAGCAACAACAGTTATTAACAGCAAAAAAAGAAACGTTAAAAATATCTTATTATTTATGACATTAAAGAATCTGCAAAGTTATCAGATGTAGATAAGCAACTACGACAAAATGGTTCAGAACATTTTAGTTATTATTTCATCTGATGCAAAACCAAACTTTGTCAAGCGTATAAAATCTATAGCGTTAATTGTTATTATACTAATGAAATA